TATTATGCAACAAATAGATTTGATGCACAAATATTATATTATAGCCTGCACACGCATGCATTGTCCACAAAAACACCAATTTCGCTGGATGTTGGCAGAGTTGTGGAATTAAAGCATGTTAATGGAAAGTTGAGTGGAAGGAAAAAGTTCAACAGAAACGGTTGCACTAGCACAAAGGTCAACCACAGCTTTGAGATGATTCTGAAGCTAATCTGAGACTTTTTGGGGAGACAAGGCATGGACAGGTGTTGCACTTTCTGGTGTTAGGCTGCTCCTGGACAAATGCTTCTTACCTGAACTCTTACTTTATATCCATATAAGTACTTTATATATACTCAAGGTCTAGAAAAAGAGTGTAAAAGCAAAAAAAATCCAAGCTATTTCAGGTCCTGAGTGAAGTTTCCACAGTCAGTGAGTGGATCAGATCTACTGTGTTTTATCGAGTCCAAAGTCAGTGTAGCCACCCGCAATTCAATCACAGCCTAGGTTTTTGATGGAAAACACAATAATAATAACAAATTAACAGTAATACCCTGTTGAAACACATCACTCTGTGTGTACTAAAGATACACATTACGTTTTTAAAAATCTAATTATTGAACTAATTTAACGTTTTGATAATATCTTTAATTTTAGATGCATTTGCATTGCGTAAAGACTTTGTCAGTCCAGTGATGGGCTCATGCATCTGCTTGTTGAAAGAAGCAGCTGAACTTTGCAGCAACCCCATGTTTCATCATTTTGATTCATTTAGTATTCTTTTTGTGAGAAAAAGGGCCGATAGACTTAACTTAAAAAAAGAAATTAAAGAAAAAGCTGCAGGGAGAATAAAAACGACATAGGCTAGTTAAACTATGTATTTGAACTCGCCATCTTTTCTTCCTCTGCTGTAAGAAATAACAGGTTTGAAGAAAAGGAAGCGCTGGAACTAAATGAGAATAGATTCTCCAGAACAGCAGCCACAGCAAAGACTTATCTTATCTCGACTCGCTGTTATTTTCAAACTGTGCTTGAAAAGGAAAGGCGAATGAGCTTCTCACTCACCAAGACACACAGTTCAATAACCTGTGAAATTATTGTTACTGCTTACTGTATATCATTAGCATTAAGCTCGACTCCTTGGAGAGAACTGAGCTGCTTATTTACGAGGGGCTCAAATAATCATGTTCATCCTGTTAAATAAACAGACGAGGATTATCTTATCCCAGCGTGCTAAATTCTTCAGCATCTTCAAACAGACTCAGGAATAAATTGTGCTGATTAATGCCACAGCGGTGTGTGCTGCAGACATGTCTGCTTGGTCATTAATAAATAAAAAACTTACAATGTCTAAAAACCTAAAACAATTCCATAAATAAGTCATTTATTAAGTAAGTTCTGTCAGACGAATGTTATACGTCTGCAAATCAGGAGAGAAACACATATTTCAAATATACTGAATAAAAAACATGGAGGTTTTCTCATCTAGTTCTGTGCAGCTTTAATCAGATTTTTACATTTGCCAGTCTCAAGAAAAAAAGCTAAAATATGCAAATAATGTAAGAAGGTGCATTGATTTTGCTGACAGAAAACAGTTGAATGGTTCAGCGTCTTCCTGCAGAAATGAAGGCCCAGGGTTATGGAGAACAGAAGACGCTCTTCTAATACTTTTGTTACACATCATCCAAAACCAACAGGCAGAGGATAAAACTCTTATTTGGAATAATAAAATCTCCTTCTTTCCATCTGTAGTTCCTTTCTTGCTTGCTTTTAGATGATAATGTGTGTAATTTAAATGTAATAATTCATTCTTGCAATTACATGTTATCTCTTTTTTTCCAGCTTGTGCTTGGGGCTTCAGAAACAGTGTGGATCTCTTCTGTCCTCTAGTGGAGAAATTAGAAACTGCACAGAGAAAAGGTCTTTGGTAACAATAGTGTGGTGGCCCTCATGAATAAACAGTGGATCTTTTACTTTTACTGGAAAATTAAAACAAATCTGGAATACAGAAAGGGCAGTATTTCACAGAAATGTTATAATTTTCATTAATAATTCATCCTGTGCTGCAGGTGAATATTTTTAGCCAGGCTTTCAGTAAATGCATACATGTTGCACAGCCACTTCCTGTGGGATTGAGTGTAAAGGGTACAGGGAGAAATCCATCCTCTGTTTCAACCTTACAGTTGTATTTAAAATCAAGTGATTTCTTTCACAAATCTTGTAAAAAAAGAATGCACTTTTGTGTTCCTCCATATTGCAATAATTTTAAGAAACCTCCAGTAACAGTTTAAACAGTGGAAGTATAATATTGTACTGACGTATTATAGAAACACTTTAGTGACCAAGTCATTTACAGAATACATTGATTCACAGAATAAGTTTGCTTGACCTCAGCTGTAAATATTAGTTTTTGTTTCTTATTTACTGGGACAGTCATCAAATTCTCTGAGTGAAAATTAATCTCACTCTTGAACCATTGTCTACTATTAGTTATGGTGATAACTATTAGAGATTATTAAAGCATTTCGCAAATATATTCACAAAACCAATCGCCACATGTAGTGGTCTTTTTGGATGTCTGTGTCCCAGAAATTAACTTTGTGATTAAGGAATTAAGGAAATATAAAGAAAGTCAATACATTTATTGATCTAAATGCACAGCAGTGATATAGGTACTACACAGAATCATATATATATATATATATATATATATATTTGTTTTTAATTCGGTGATGTGGTGTGACATCTGTTAACCTCCTCAGAGTGTCACTGTTCTTCCAATAAAACCGGCGGTGAGTCTTTATGGATCAGCCATAGTTTTCAAAATGTGTTCGTAGTTTGCGGTGATGACGTAAAACTGTGAAAAACTATATTTCTTTAACAGATTAAACAAGACATGGACTTCCAGCACTTTACAGACATGCTCTATTAATTGCTTGTACACATTTGAAGCTAAAATGTACACGTAACTACAAATAGAAAAGAAAGTAAGAAAAGAAGGCTTGTCGTGTTCTACCTCGGATCCATCGTCTCTGGACACCAATAAAACTGATGAAAAGTGTTTTGCTCTGGTCTCGAATCAGCTTATGGTGTCACTTCTCTTTGGGAACTGAATTTGGACTTCAGCAGGTGTAGCTTTCGCTCTTCCATCTCTGATGGCCGAGAATGTCCCTCTCAGACCTCTATTGGGACTGGACTCTGAATGTCTTTAGAGCCTAAATGTAATTTTAAAAGTTTACATGATGAGCAAGAGCAAAACTTACAGTAAACAAGTCAATCCAACTAAATCCGTGGGTTAATTAGCACAATGTCTTTTCTGTGCTAAAAGACATTGTGCTAATGTCTTTTAGCATTAGCACAATGCTAATGCTAAAAGACATTAGCATTAGCATTGCTAATGGCAGCAGAAAGGCAGCCTTTTTGCTGCCTTTCTGTTCAAACTCTCATCATACTCTTTTCATCTGAGTATGATGAAAAGAGTATGATGAGAGTTTGGTTCAGAAAACCTGCACAGAGTTTGTCACAACTCAACATAAAGTAGTCAAAAAATTTTACTTCAATTAACAAAGCCTGGATAACATAAGACTAGCTGGAGGCAGAAATGTAACTTAAGGTGACCAGCATGCAGGAACATATTCTGACCAAGAAAAGAACAGGAGCACAATTATTTCTAAAGCATAAACAAGTCAAGTTATTTTAGATGAATGTAATGTAATGATGAAAGCCTTTTGTTCTAGTCTTGTTCAGATTGTAGTAGGTGTGGATTTTGTGCATCTGGCAACAAATTAGAACAAATGCAACTTCAGCAAGAAAAGTAAAAGGGAGTCAACTCAGCCGGTTTCAAACTCATGACTAATCTGTTCACAACGTGACGCATTTACCATTTTGTAAATATTTTCATGCTGAAATGTAAAACATTTGCTTGATACAATGCAGCCTTTGCAGACCATTGTTAGGCAAGCATGATCCCACATTCCACTTTCTCTTTCTGCATTGTCAGCAGTAACTGAGGAAAGGCTGTTTGCAAAACACACATCTACTTCCAGTCCACTGTCAAGGAAAACCACTAATTAACTTAACTAATTAACAAAATATATTGTGAATAAAAGACCAGACCAAACTTTGTCATAGGCGAACGGATGACGGAGGAAAACACATTCTGTTTATAAGTTAGTTTGTTTTGTTTTTTTCTCAGAAATGATTTGCTGGCTTGCAGAACTCCTTGGAATCTCATACTATGAGTTTTCTGTTGCAATTATGGGCCAGATGTGTTTTAGAAATTTGTTTTTGTGTGACTAGTTTTTTTAAGCAAAGTGTTGTTCGTTTAGTTCAGAGAAGTTGTACAAACGGCATCAAATATTGAGAAAGATAGGTAAATTCTGCATTGCTCAACATGAACATTCAGTTTTATTTGTTTTTAAACTCAGGTCACACAGTCAGTCTTCTGTTTGTTTGCAAACCCTTTTCTATGGCAGTTCTTAATTTCTCTAAAACACAACTCAGGTGCATTTGAAATTATTTTTAAACTATCTGATGATATTGCTTTTTAATATATGAGAAAACTTATTTTCATCTAAATTAAATCTGATTTACTTTGAATGAAATCTATTGAGCTGGTTTGGGAAATGCAGTGAGTTTTGTTTGCTTAATTGATTCCTGCAAATGATTGCCAGAAAAGTAGAAAACAATACAAACAAAACTTTACAGGAATACATGTCTGTTTTTTTGTTGTTGTTTTTTTTACCTCAGATTTATTGATGAAAAAATGACCAAACCAGGGCGTGCAGTTATGTACAATAGGATTACTATTTAAATACTGTTTATTTGATGTCCCATTTGCTTAACCATTCCCAGGTTTTTAATCCAAACCTATTTTTGAAAATATATAGATTCTTTTTTTTGTTTCTAGTTTGTTTATTGAGGAGCTGGTGCATGATTTAAGGGGCTGTTTTTGGTCACTTCTCTTTTCTCCCCTATCTGTGATTTAGGGACTGGAGGCTGAACCCACTTGTGCAATCATTGAGCAATCTTCTTTCCTCTCTCTCTCTCTCTTGTGAAATCCACGGCTCCTTCTCTGTATAACAGTGTAGCTGTCTGCGGTGCCTCGCTCTGTTTGGTGGTTCAGAGTAGAAGGTTAGAATGCACATGATAACGAGGAGCTGCGTCCTACTGCTGTGGTCGCAGTTATTGACTTCTGTAACATGCCAAGGTAAGTCCTAGTACTTCCGTTCATATTTTTTCAATTTTAAAGTATTTTGCGTTTATTGTTTGATGATTTGTTATTGATATAAACCCACTGAAATTGTTTGTTGCCGTCACACAGACTGTACACTTGAACAGTTTCTTAACAGCCGTCACTTTGATTCAAATTTTGACGTAAGTGGTTTGGATGCCACTTACAGCGGAGGAAAACAAGTGAGAGTCCCCTGCAGTGTTGGCTACACTGGCTATTTCAAGCTGATCTGTACTGAGGGGACCTGGATGCCTTCTGGCAGAAAATGTGAACGTAAGTTTAAAACGTGTTTCATTCATTCTGCCATTTTTATCTTACCTTTTTCTCCCACTACAGAATATTTACCCATGTTTTGTTCTTGTCCCAATATTTTAAGCGAAATCATGCGGACATCCCGGAGATGCACAATTTGGAGATTTCCGACTTGTGGTCGGAGATGATTATGTGTTTGGATCTCAGATTGTTTACGAGTGCAACCCAGGGTATGTAAAGATAAAATAAGGTCCTTTCTCTGTGAGTTTTGTTGTGAGCATTCTTACAACTCTCATTAAAAACTTTTTACAGTTATCACATGGTCAGTCGGTCAAGCCGCAGGCGCTGCTTGGCAAATGGCTGGGATGGGACCATCGCCGTGTGTGAAGGTATGAGTTGAATATGAAGTTAATTTTTTGTCAATATAAATAAGGTACCACTTTCATTTAGAAAAAAAAAACATTTCTCTGCCTGTAGTAAAGCAGTTTGTGAGTCTTTTCAATTGCCTCTAAGTTTTCAAACTGCTTGTCAAAGATGAAACACCCTGAATAAATTTATGACGTCAGGGAGTGATCAGTAGCTGCTTCTCCACTGAACATATAATTGCGCAATTTGACATTTCAAGAATAAATTAAATTTTGTTTAATGGAAAAATTAAAAAAAAAAATCTTTTTCATTAAAATGTTTTGGCATTAGGATGAGGAGATTTTTTTTGGCCATATCAAAATTGGTTTATTTCACAAAACTTCAATGGAAACACCTTTTTGTCATATCACACAAGTTACATTTTCAACAACAGGATATTACCACTGGTACAAACCATGAAGAAGAAGATGGCAGGAAGTAGTTGAGGATCTTAGCACAGCATGTTTTTTCTATGGCTTATCGTGTGAACAAACTTATTCACGTGATTTTAATTGCGTTCCTTTGCGAACATTTCTAATGGAAACATAGCTACTGATCAGAACTAAACAAAA